TAAACATGAATCAAAACCATTTCCTAAACATAATCCTCTTAATGAATTTAGCTCCAACATACTGCTCATGTCAATGTTTAATGTTGATGCAAATAAATGTAGATATTTAATATTTTTAAAATTGTTCACAAAATTATTAAAATTATAATTATTTCTAAAATATTTAGTGTTTGTATGCAAATATAAACATTCTAATGCTGGCATTGAAATATTTTCTAAATTGCACGTACCATGCCATTTTGCAGCACTAAAATAATTATTAATAACCAAATGTTTCAATAAAGGTAAGCATGTAATATTGTGTATGCTTGATTCATCAGGTATTTGTAGTGATGTTAAATTAGAAAAATTAATAGTAGGCGGTAATGGAAAGTAAAAAAAATTAGGTCCAATATTTAGTAATTCGAATTGATGAGAATACTTAATAATTTCATTGTAAATTTGGTTTAAATGTTTAAAAACAGTAGTACCAATATAGATTGAGAATTTTGTTAACAATGGAAATTTTGAAAAATCAAAAGTAGAATCAATAGTTTCCATACTGTTACCACATATCGATAATTCTTTTAAATTAGAATAAGGGATATCAATATTGAACAAGTAAGAAAATGCTTTTTTAAAATCCCAACTAACGTGAAACATAAATGTATCTAATTTAGTATGAACGTAATTACACAATAATTTGTATGATTTCTTTGAATTAATTCCACTAAAACGCATGCTTGAAAGTGCCAATTGTTTTAATTTTGGTAGTTTAAACATATTTTCTATGTCATTAGAGCTTAATGTGAAGTTTTTAATATGTAATTTTGTGATATTTGAATGTTGTAGTATATTATCAGAAATAGAACTAAATTTAATTCTATAAACACCACTATTTTCCACTCCACTTATTACTAATTGTACTAATTTTTTAGATGTTAACATTATTTCGAGAGTGTCTTTGAAATCAGTTATATTATGTAATGTTATTCTTGCAAATAATTGCAAAAAATTGTGTTTTTCCCCCAAGCCGCAACGAATTTGTTTTGTTTTCTTATCAAAATATCTATTCATAAAATCCCTTTTGTATGGTAATGAAAAAGCTGCTTGTCTCCATTCCGAACACACATGAGTGGCGCATATTAAACTGTTTGTGTTTAAATAGGAAAATATTTCTAATAATAAATCGTATGGAATGTTGCAAGGAACAGTATCGTTTCTTTCCTTTTTTTTTTTACGTAAAGGAAAGAGGAAAGCGTGTAGCATTTTTTTTGTTGTTATGTTTTATTGATACAGCTCATCAGATCCTCTCAAAAATAAACAATCACAATCTAGAATGTCAACAATTAAAGAGTGGAATGTGAAACGATTTCTAATAATTTAAAAATCCACTCCTTCTAAAAGCATCACAAAAAATCATGACAGTCTTTTTGTTTGGATCTAACACATTAAAAGATTTACTTGCCACTTTCACACCACAAGTGGCTAAAGAATTCCCACCACCCCACCCTAACACAGAATAATTTCAATAGAAATTTCAGATCTAGTAAGTCAATAATTTTTTAATAATTTATTATTTTATTGGATTTCATTTGATTATATCCAATTTGGTGACAGATAATTTGGTCAAATGACATTTTCATTTGGATAGCCAATTATCTAAAGCAATAGCTTTTGTAGTATTGCTTGGTGGTGGATATCAAGTGGGTATCACTATCAGGAACAAGACAGGATCATTTGTTGACCTGGTTCCTTAATCAAATATGTGAAAATTCTAACAATTTTTTATATGATTTGTGTGTTTATTTAATTTTTTAAATTTAAAGCACTGCTATGCAGAGAATTAGTTAGCAAGTTTTCAGATATTTCAATATTTCAGATTTGTTTTTATGGTTTTTTAAGGTTTTTTGAATTTATTAGATGGTTTAATGGGCGCATAGTTGCAACTATTAGAGGTATTAGAGTTTAAAAATTATACAAAAGTTGATTAATGATATCCTCAATCATTATTTATTATTATTATTCTTGCGAATTAATTTACACGCGTGTAATAGAATAAACTTAGTATTTCAAAAACGACACCTTTATGATAAACCTATAACAGTATGCTCTAAAAAAAACCACAATGAAAAAGAATAAACTGACTTTTAATTTCAGGAGATCAGAATGGCATTAAGGAGGGAATTGTATTTTACAATACTATTACAACAGAAACCAAAAGTTTTACAAATCAATCTGACATTACAATATTTGGAAAAAAGAGGATTTCATGAATCAATTTTCAAAATCATTACCATCAAAAGAACATAAGTTTCTGATTGTACAATTTTAAAATTAATCCCTTTAAAAAAAGTTTGAAATGGAGAATTAAAATAAACACAAAAGAAAGCAAATTCAAATAGAAATTAAAATACTTTCTCTTTCTTTTTGCAACCATTGAGGGCAAAATTTTTAGAGGTTTTAATAATTAATAACAAATCACATTTAAAAGAATTAATTTGATTTTCTTGATGAGATAAAATGTGATAGATTTGATGTTTCATTTTTTTTACAAACTCTATTACCAATAAAACCAAATATCTAAAAAAGATAATTTCTTAAAAGAGTTGTTGGTTTGATATTTTGTTTTTTGTAGAAAAACCAATCTCGTAAATATGAATGTTCATTAAGTCAAAATCAGAAACCTAAATCCTTTAAGACATGTCTATGAAGATATCTATTAATTGAATCAGAAGACCAATGGTTAAATTTACCTTTATCTTTGCATAAAATTACATCTTGAGTTAATAAATTATCATTGTAATATTATGGTCAATTTTCACCAATCCATAGCCTTGGTAGATTGGTTTGGCCATAACTATTATATTAATAACTTTCACTAAATACACTTTATTAAGGTGGAGAAAGAGTGACAAATTTTAAATATTTTGCTTTAAAAAAATGACACGTCAAATCCATCACATTTTATCTCATCAAGAAAATCAAATTAATTCTTTTAAATGTGATTTGTTATTAATTATTAAACCCACTATTTTAATAACAAAAAGAAAAAGAAAATATTTTAATTTCAAAATGAATCCGTTTTCTTTGCAATTTATTTTAGCATCCTCCATTGAGAGAATGGAAATATTACTTCTTCGAATTTGCAGAAGATATTGGTATAATATTAAAACCAGACTGGAAAGGGTTTTTAATGGCGGGTTTTAAACATCTGCAATAATATACAAATGTTTAACTATATTTTCATTGAGAACCTTTTCACCTTTACGGCAAACCAATACGACAGGTAAATCATATATTGTATCATACATGAGATGTTTATTAAGACCATGTAAAATTATTGCCTCTTATTGCCAAAATCGACAACAATAAACAAACGAAAAGAGATTTCATTTTTTAAGTTGTTCTCTTGATTTGGCTCTTAATTACACTTTCCACATAATTGGTAGTATTTATAAAAGACATACTACTTGTTCGGCCTGTATTTGTTAATAAATGTCAATGCTTATTCCATTGCTCATGGAAGTATTTGCAAAAAGCACCTTCTTTGTCTGTGTTTTCCAAAGCCTCTAAAGTAAATGGAAACTGAAAACCCTTTTTCTTGAAACTCGTTTAATAATGAGTCACAAATATCCACACCTATATTGTAAATAGCTTTCTTGAAGATTGATTCTGTGATATCAACGATATCTTTAACACCTTCCAGTTTACCTCTGTGGTGATGTGTTTCCAATAGCAACCACCTGACCTTTACATAAATAAAAATAAACATTTTAAACCAAGTCGAAGAATACCAAGTTATAAATTGTTGAAATGGAATAATCTATTACAGATTTTGTATTTTGTGTTTGGTTATTACTTTGTACCTCTTTTGTTATATATTTTCACCTTCTTCCTGCGTTGTATGTTTTTTTGTATTACCTGTTTAGGTTAGGTTAATTCTAAAGCTCTATTCATATTCAGATTTTTCTTTTGGTTTGACTTATCCTTCAAATTGTGTTAGAGTTGTTTTATTTTTGCTACAAATAGAGTTAGTTTTGTAGCAAAGGTTAGGCCAAAAAGAAAGCTCTTGATAAGGAAAGCTCTGTTGTTGAAGTTATACTGAATGTCCAAATGTGGAAAAATATGTGTTAAATTAGTGGGATGGATTTTGGATATTAATATACTCTGTAAATCTCACTCATTTTGAATCCGAGTTGAATTAAAGTTGATATATTCTAAATCAATAACACTTTCCCAAAGGAAAAAACATAGTAATAAAATATTGAATTTTATTTTATTTCATTATTTGCTCAATTTTATTCTATTTCAAAAAAAAGAATCCAAATACAGTGTTTTTCGTGTTTTGCATGTTTTTTCATGTTTTTTCAAAAACGACTCTCACTGTCCCAACTTTTTGGATATTGGTGAATAAATAATCGGCAAAAAGCCAAAAGAAGAAAAAAGTTTATTTTTTAATTTTCTTATAAATATTCGTAAAGTGATTTAAATGTATTCTTTGTTGATAATTACTCAAAACACAACACATTTCCAAATAATATTATCCAATCCAAGATTATGATTAACGAGGCATCATTAAAAATCATTAACAAGAAATTAATGGCTCTACGTTAAGACCTAAGTTAAGCTGACGTTAACAGAAACAATTTATGAAAAGAAAAAAAAATTCAACATAGTGAATGAACCGCCACCATTAATGGTGAATAGACTAATGTTACAGGAAATTAAGGAACCTCATCTTAATTCAATTTGATATTGTAACTTTCCTTTTCTTAGACAGCGTCTTCATCAGATCCTCTCAAAATTAAACTATCACTTTCTGGAATGTCAACAATTAAAGAGTGGAATGTGAAACGATTTCTAATAATTTAAAATTCCACTCTTTCTAACAGCATCACAAAAAATCATGGCAGTTTTTTTGTTTGAAGTTGGAAGCCAGGATATTGATGTATAAATATTCTTTTGTTAACAAAAGAACAGAAAATTAGAAAATTGGCCTTTAATATGAGTTCTTTCCCTCAATCAGACTTTACCTTTTTTTGTTCAGGTTGTGATTCTACCATCAATTCTGTTCTTTCTCTCTTTTTAGACATTAATAATTCTTCAAATTCTTGACGGGTAATATTTGGTATTTGTTTGTCAATGGTTGGAGCACCATAGGAATAGAATTCATCTTTTGAAATACCCAATACTTCCAAACATTGTTGGACAGAGGGTCTAAGCTTAATATCATGTAAGACCATTTTCCCAATTAGATTACAAATTGTATGATCATTTGTCTTTTTCAACAACTCAAAATCAATGTATTTCTTTGTTTGTAAGGCAACCCCCAACATTTTAGCAAATACAAGTCCCAGAGAATAAACATCTGATTTTGGTGTAATGTAATTTTTGTCCCTTTCTTTTTCTGGAGGATTGTAAGCGCTTGTTCCAGATGAGGACTGGATTATTCTCTTGTCTGAATCATAGCAAATTTCATCCACTTGGTCATACCTCGCATATCGTTTGCAAGCTTCGAAATCAATGAAATAAGGATAATCTTGATAAACAATTATATTTTCTGGTTTGATATCATTGTGAAGTACCTCATCTTCATGGAGAAAATAGAGTTGAGCTAATAGTTGGATCATCAGAGTGGTCTTATTAACCCCCTTATTCTTATCGATATATTCTTCAAGTGGTGTTCCTTTGTAGCTGACATCAGAATAATTTATATACATCTTTGTAACAAGATCACTATAACCAATCATTTCTGAATAATGTAATCTGAGCTGCCACAATTTGAATCCAGAATCTCTATCGTTGTTATATAATTTTACAATACACTTGTCTTCTGTGTTAACGATAGTTCCTTCATACAAAAGTTTGTCACCAGTATTAGCCATTTCTCTTTCAATTTGAATAGCAAACTTGATGGAAGCACTAACAATACATTGCACAACACTGCCAATTGGGAGGCTTCTATTAGGTTGCCCTTTTTGAGGACTTGTCAAATTTGATTTTTGAGATGTCTCCTCTTCAACTAAATGTTTACAAATAAGTTTTGTTATGGCAGATGCCATATAAGCAGAAGTAATCAAAAAATTACATAACGCAATTCTATCCTCTTTCTTCTGAGTGTTATACACGCCAGAAAGATACAATAAATAGTCAATACAAATAGTACGGTTGTCTGCCTTATATAAATAGGGCTTCAATGTCAATATTATAACTTGTGCTCCACTTGATAGAATTCCATGACAACAAATACAATTATGGAAATTGCACACGTTGTTAACAATACTGCCTCTAGTAGTTTGAGAAAGTATTAATCTCATTTGTGTGATAATTTTGAGAACGTCTGGATAATCTGATAGATTGTCCTCACTAGGTTTGTTTTCTTCAACAAAGGATAGCAAGAAATATTTGGAACCTGTCACAATTTGTATTTCTTCGGGATTAGTTTCGGTTTGAGAGGCAAAATGCCGAGAGGATT